CCAGGGAAAAAAACCCCCACAGGGCCAGAGGTATAGTTCAATGGTAAAACTCCAGATTAGCAAGTGTGAGGACTAGAATCCAAACCTCAGTACTCTCTCTCTCAAACACACACACATACACATTTGGCGCCTAACTCCTTAAGTTAAAAATTGGTAAGGAAAAAGAATCAAGCATTTTTCTTTTATGAACAGTATCATTACCAAATATAGGTAAGGGGAAGTGTATCAAATAAGTGAAGAAATGATAGAACCTTAAACCCTATGACAGAATTAGCATGCATTCATGAATTAATGAAATAAGATGTTGTGCGTTGATTTTTGTAACAACACAAAAAGAAAGGAAAGCAGCCATCATATGCCTCATGAAGTAAATATACCAACCCTTACAAAGACTGATCAACTTCAAGAGTCAACAACCAATTCATGAGAAATACACAGAACAGCAGAACATGTGAAACCAACAAAAGTAAAAAAAAAAATTGATGACATGGGATCATCAGAAAATTGACCATTGAGCCGGGCGCCGGTGGCTCACGCCTGTAATCCTAGCTACTCAGGAAGCTGAAATCTGAGGATCACCGTTCAAAGCCAACCCCGGGCAGGAAAGTCCGTGAGACTCATATCTCCAATAAACCACTAAAAAACTGGAAGTGGAGCTGTGGCTCAAGCAGTAGAGTGCTCGCATTGCGCTAAAGAGCGCAAGGACAGTGCCGAAGCCCAGAGTTCAAGCCTCATGACCGACAAAGAAAAACAAAACAAACAAAACAAAAAAAACTGACCATTGACTGGATAGATAATAATATTTGTTACTTTAAAAAGGATTTCTTTTTTATTATAACTGGATAAAGTATGGAGAAATAGGGGGAAAGAAAGGGGGGAGAAACACTTCCTGCTCCTCATGCAGGAAAAAGAAAACTATTTTCTTTTCTTTCTTTTTGGGGGCAGGGGGCGGGGTAGTCTGTCTATGTAGATCTGAATGGCCTTGGACTTGAAATCTCCCCGTCTCAGACTTGTGAATACTGGAACTAAAAGTATGCACCACCACAAACAGCTATTGTTGTCTGAGGTGAAATAACAGCCAGATGGCTATGTTTAGAAAGATTTCTTCTCTTTCACATAAGTATACTAAACCATTTAGAGATGAAATGATACAATTTCTGGGGTTTGTTTAAAAAAAATAATCCACCAAGCTGGACACTGGTGGCTCACGCCGGTAATTCTAGCTACTCAGGAGGCTGAGATCTGAGGATCATAGTTCAAAGTCAGACCAGGCAGGAAAGGCTGTGAGACTTTTGTCTCCAATAAACCACTCAGAAAACTGGCAGTGGTGCTGTGGCTCAAGTGGTAGAGCGCTAGCCTTAAGCTGAAGAGCTGAGGGACAGCACCCAGACCCAGAGTTCAAGCCCCGTGAGTGAGAAAATAACAACAATAATAATAATGCATAGTCAGGAAGAGTGGGTGGACATATATCTAGAACAACATAACTTGAGTTGATCATTAAAGTTGAGTAACAGATATGTGGAGTTCATGATACCATTTTGTCTAGTCTGTGCTTAAAGTTTTCCATATGTTTCTCTTTTAAATTATTAAGAGGTTCCCCAATATTCTGGTATTCTTGTCCCAAAGGAAACTATCTTCTACCTCTTGAGATGAGTCAAATACCCCATGAAAAGTAACTTCATAACCCATTAACCTTCCTTTGTAAACTAGTATAGAAGATTGTTTCCTGGACTACCTTTAACCCTGCAGATCTGTGAGTAGATGTGTAAAAGAAAACCTTAGGAAAAAATAAAGGGAGGAATGAGAGTAGAAAGAAGAAAGGGGAAAAAGAAATTGTGTCTTTATCACAACTTCCTTAGGGTCCCCAATTTTGGTATAAATCTTTGTGTGGACCGAACTAAGAAATTCCACTATGAGAATTTTAAAAATAAGGTTAAGTTCTTGCTAACGGGTTAAACTTTCACAAAGGAGCCTGTCTTACATTCTTGAAGGCTAATACAAATATTGGAGGAGGGAAGAGGCGTGTTTTCTATTACACAGTAAGCCAATGATGACAGAAAGAGTCCATTTTTGGCCTAAACCTGAAAACAATCTACCCTTGTACACTGGATGACAAGAATGTGGAAGCTAGGAGAGAATAAGAGTTAACTTGAGTGTTCAAGAGTCTATAGCTTTTTTTTGGGGGGGGGTCCGGTCGTGGGGCCTGAACTCTGGGCCTGGGCGCTGTCCCTCAGCTCTTCAGCTCAAGGCTAGCACTCTACCA